AGGGCTGCTTCTGGCTGCACTGAACAGCTCCTCAGGGATCTCAGCTGCCTGCTTCTCACTGAGCAAAGGAAAGGCCTGGCTGAGTGACATGGCTCAGCACCTCCTGCTTGCTACAGCAGCTTCTCATCTTCTTTCAGAAAAGATCAGCAGATATAAACATCTACACTCTGGTTACCCCAAAAACCACCCACCACTGCACTGTGATACAGAGCACTTGAGCAGACAGGACAAGGGGCAACGGGCACCAACTGGAACCCAGGAGGTGCCACCTGAGCAGGAGGAGAAACTTCTTTGGGGTGAGGGTGGCCGAGCCTGGAGCAGCTGCCCAGAGAGGCTGTGGAGTCTCCTGCTCTGGAGAGATCCCAAACCCCCCTGGGCACCATCCTGGGCACCCTGCTGTGGGTGAGCTGCTGGAGCAGGGGGTTGGATGAGATGATCTCCAAAGGTCCCTTCCAACCCCACCCTGCTGGGACTCTGGGGTTCTGGAACACCACTTCACACACTGGCACCCTGACCTGTTATGTTGCTAAAGAAAAACTGGTTTAGGAGCTGAGTTATGTCACAGGAATGCTGCACATCTGGCCAGAAAGTGCAGCAAGACTGGCACTGAACAGATTTCCCCCTCTCAGGAAACATTCCCAGCACCCTGCAGTGGGACTCAGGTAACTCCTCATTGTGGAGCTCCTGACGTTTTGTGCTGACTTAAACCATGCAGCCCTTTTACCAGGGAGCTCCTTCCCACATCCCAGCTCTCAGCAGGACTATGCACTTACAATCACAGAATCATTTGGGTTGGAAGAGACCTTCAAGATCATGGAGTCCAACCATCCCCCAGCACTGCCAGGTCCCCACTGCCCCGTGTCCCTCACCCCACATCTCCACGGCTTGGAAACCCCTCCAGGGGTGGGGACTCCACCACTGCCCTGGGCAGCCTGGCACAGCCCTGGGCAACCCTCCAGGGCAAGAAATTGTTCCTCAGGGACAACCTCAACCTCCCCTGGGGCAACTTGAGGCCTTTTCCTCTTGTCCTGTTGCTTGGCCAGACCCCCCCCTGGCTCCAGGCTCCTGTCAGGAGCTGTGCAGAGCCAGAAGGTCTCCCCCTGAGCCTCCTTTGCTCCAGGCTCAGCACCCCCAGCTCCCTCAGCTGCTCCCCATTCCACCCAGCAGCTCTCAGCAGTGTTTCTTCCCCTTCCCCAACCTAACAAGTTACATTGTTGGTTACATTTAAGAAATCACTGAAGAGAGACTCACCTCCTACAAGAGACTTAATGAGAATTGCCAAAGAAGTTTAAAAGATCCTAAAGGTATGAAGCATTTCAGTGAGTCAGAAGGAATGTTACTCAGAGTATTTGCTAATGCAAAGGAATGATTAAAACCCCCCCTGCAATTCAAATCTGCCTATTCCCAAGCACACCAACTAAAGTGAAAAAAGGCAGCAGGATCTGCAGACATTACATGAAGGGAAACAAAATAAAAGGCAATAGAGAGGGAAGTGTCCTTACAGCTTTGGAAAGGAGTAATATTTCAGGACACACACCTATAGTCCAACAGTTTGAGTGAAGTTATGGCGTGCAGGTTGATCTTGGCCTGGCTGGGCAGAGTCATGGCTGTCACAGGAGGCTCCTCCTTTGGGACATCATCTAGAAACAACAGACACACAGGGTCACAAAGGGGTGCTCTGAGGGCCCCAGATGGAGAGGTGCAGTGTCCCCAGCCACCCACCACTCTTGCCAGTTCTCCCTCTATCCTGGTTCAGTCGCACATTATCTGATTCATGATAGTGCAAGAGTTTTCCAGCAACTGGGTTTTTTTTTGTAATCTTGGGTTGGTGGGTTGTTGGAGTGTTTTTTAGGCTGCGTGGAGGGGAGAAGAGTTGACTTAGATCCTGACAAACTAGGTCAAGAAGCACTAGAGTTGTACACCAGCAGCAGCCAGGCAGTAGCCTCCACAGGGTGGGGAGCTAGGAATGGAAAAAAATGGGGAATTTGGGCTAAAAATGATGATCCAGATCACCTCCATCCACAGCAACAAAACACCCTTTTAGTTCCAACATCAATATTTATAAACTTTCATCATACCCTCCTCCCTAGGGTTCCTTCTGCTTGCTACCTACAACCCTCTCTGCCAGGCTGCTTGGTGTGGTTGGGTAATGCAGATGAAAAGCACTGTTAAGGAATGAAGAGTAAAAGCATTGCTCTGCTGGTGCTGGTGGCTTTAGCTCCAACACAGATGCCATGACAAGCAGAGTGAGAGGGTAAGAACTGCTGTCCACCAAGACAGCTGATTTTATTACCCACAATGATATCATCTGTTATAGTTCACCAGAGAAGCTGCTGACTATGGGCTCCAGCATCCAATTCATTTTCTGTCAGCTGCTGGCATTCTGAAGGAATTCTATGGGCCACAGTAACCTAATTCATGCTGCCATCCTCTGGCAGAGGAGAGAAAACTCACCTCACAAAGGACAAACTCACACAATTTTCAGCAAAAGTCACCCAGTGTATTATCAAGGCCCCTTCTAAAAGAAGAGGGTGAGTGATTTTTGCTGTTTAAGTGAGCGCCATAATTATTTCCACATTATAATTAACATGCCCACTGACCTTGGTTGTTTTGCTAATTTAGTTTTAAAACTTTAGAAAGATGGAGGTTTCTAAAGACAGTAAACTGAAGTCCTTAAAAAAGTCCCTAAAAAAGAGTTTAGAAAGGATTTCAACTTCTCAGCATGCAAGTTTCCTAAAGACTTGACAGCCTGGCTCCTAGATAATAAAAAATACACTGTTATCTCTACTATTCTGTCCAGAAAACACAGCACAACAAAAGAAAACACAAATGCCAAAATTTAAGTGAGTGCCATAATTATTTCTACATTATAATTAACATGCCCAGTGACCTTGGTCGTTTTGCTAATTTAAAACTTTAGAAAGATGGAGGTTTCTAAAGACAGTAAACTGAAGTCCTTAAAAAAGTCCCTAAAAAAGAGTTTAGAAAGGATTTCAACTTCTCAGCATGCAAGTTTCCTAAAGACTTGACAGCCTGGCTCCTAGATAATAAAAAATACACTGTTATCTCTACTATTCTGTCTAGAAAACACAGCACAACAAAAGAAAACCCAAATGCCAAAATATCTTGATGCATCAGAAGCCCAGGTACCAATCTGGGAAGTGAACTGAGCGTGCAGAAGCAAGCAGCAGCTTTTTGCTTGCTGTTTTAATCCTCTCAGATCATTTTTCTGTCAGAGAAACGTGACCCTGAATCATCTTGGTGTTTTTTCATCCACAGAGGCAGAGCTCTGACTCCAAGAGAGGATTCTACAAAAAAAAACCCACACAGCTGTTGTGCCTAGAAGTGATGCCCCTGAAATGTGTCATCTCATTTTCTGCTTTGGGACTCTTGTCGTTGTTTCTGTGAGGAGTGTTGGGATGGAGACCATCAGGTAGCAGAAAGATGGATTCTAAGGGGCCAGGATTAGGATGATGTTTGAAATAATCCTAACACTTTTGGAAAATATCCCCTCCTCTCAGCCTCAGGACAGTGACCAAGGCAGCAGAAGGGTGGGAAGCTGAAAAAGAAGCCCTGATGTGAACTGCCCATGACACAAGCACCCTCCTAAATTCTCCTGATTCCTTGGAAAGAGTCTCTTTCCAATGCAATGCTTACCTTGGATTTTGCTTCTCAGATACTTCAGAAGCTCCTGGGTGCCTTTCTTTAAAAAAATAACAATAGAAGGAATGAGTAAGCATTTGCCAGCCAGTGTTTGCCATTTGCCAGAGCTCACGTGGCCACTTTGACAGGAGGAATGACAACTCCAGTCCCCCAGGGTGGAGCCCGTGGAGCTGCTGCTGCTGATAAACTCCACCCAAAACGTCCCCTCTGCGCAGCACCTCAGGAACCTGCACATTCACAGGTCTGCTTATCCCAGCTGAAAGTTTCCAAACCCACCTCACTCCCTCAGGATCACTTTTTTAGCTTTTTCTCTCTCCAGTCCTCAGCCAGTTCCAAGAGCAAGGAGGATGGTTCAAATGAAGTCAGTCTCCTCTTTAAAAAGCTCTAGTGCAATTACTCTTCGAAGGAGAGATTTTAAATTTCTTAGGGGAGCTGATTGTTCAGTGTTCTGGTAACTTTTCATGTCCAAAATTATGAACTGTGGAAATAACACTGCAGTGTGCAACATCTGCATGGATTTTTGACAGCTTTGTCCTCCAAAGAACTGACTTGCACTTCTGGCACAGCAGCTGCTACTGGTCAAACCCAGTTACCACCAGCATAATCCATGAGTAATGAAGCACAATCTCATCTAGCTTGTTTGGCTGAGATTTTCCTGTATTTCTCCCAAAACATTCCCATTTTACATGCTTCTCCTTGAGGTTTTAAAGCCAGGGACTGAACTAAACCACTGAAACTGAGTTAACATTTCTCATTCCTGTTGAAAGCTCTGTCACATGCAACGAGACATGGATTATTCTGACTGCAGAGGGGACCAAAAATACGTGGAAGTGGGAAAGGAACTCACTCACACAAGGAATCTGGTGAGATGATGGAAACAGAAGACAAAAGATGGAGAAGAGCAGCTGGAGGAGCACGGGACTGACTGCAGGCACAGCCAGACATGGCTTGAGCTGAGCTGAGCATGACAGAAGACAATATGGAAGAACCTGGAAGCTCCTAAGGAAAAGGTGAAGGTCAAACAGAAAGCTGAGCAACAGTCCCGTGGCTTGCATGCAGAGGAAAGCAAAGGCAATAAACCAAAGCTCCACAGACAGGTGGTGGCATGTTAGGCAGGAAGGGGAGATTAGGATTTAACAGCAATTGCCTGGAAATTCATGAAGAAACAAGAATGGGTTTGGGAGGAAAATGATAGGCCTGAAAAACAGGAGGAGATGAGACAGAGCAGGGATGGACAGAAGAATCTATGCCTGCTGGACTAGACTTAGCCCCCAGACCCTGCCAATTCTTAAACTCAGTATTCACCTTCTCCTAAGAAGTGCCTGGGGAACTTTTGAGGGCTTGTAGTGCTAGCATGAGGGGTGACAGCTTCAGACTGGGAGAGGGGAGATGTAGATTAGAAATTAGGGAGAAGTTCTTCACTGTGAGGGTGGTGAGACCCTGGCCCAGGTTGCCCAGGGAAGCTGTGGATGTTCCATCCCTGGAGGTGTTAAGGGCCAGGTTGGATGGGGCTTGGAGCAACCTGCTCTAGTGGGAGGTGTCCCTGCCCACAGCAGGGGGCTGGAACTGGATGATCTTGAAGGTCCTTTACAACCCAACCCATTCTGGGATTCTGTGAACTCTGCAGGCTTTACCAATCACCCTTCTCAATCCAGTGTAAGCAAGCCCAGACAGGCAGGTAAAATCCCAGGGACAGGAATTTGCAGTGTTGGTAACAGACCAAGGCAGTGCAAGGAAGGAATGCCACCATGGAGCCCCTGTACCTGTCCTCAGCTACAAATCTGAAATATATGTGAGAAGTCACACACGTCCATGCCCTTACATTTGAAACCCATGAGCAGGCAGGGGATAGCAGAACTGAGGTAACCAGGCAACCCCAGCTCACACTCCTTTACATGCACATTTTAAGCCAGCTTAGAACTCTGGAATCACGTTTGACTTCCACCCACTGAAGCCCTGCTCATTAATTTTGTGCACACAACGTTCACTTAATCAGATCCATGACATTTTCCTGCTTCTCACAGACATGACACAGTTCCATTTCCACAGAGAGTCTCCAGTGCTGCTTATTTTTAGAGTTCTGGCTGCACAATGTGTGTAGTGCACATACATGACATAGCCAAACTTATCTACTGTCTCTAGCACTTACTTGCAGGAGGTCTCTCCGAATGGTTCTCAAGGGATTTCCCTCCAGTGCCAGGAACTTCAGCTGAGGAAGGTTCCCCAAGGTGTAAGGCAGTCTGCAAATGGAAACAACTCATTTCAAAGCAGCTTCAGAACAGTCTGTGAAGAGTCTGTGACAATTTGTCAGCTGGCCTGGCATTCTGCAGCTCACCTCCAGAGGAAAAGATACAGAACACATCACATGCAAGAAAGGTGCAGCTTGATCACGGCAGTCCCAGGATACAGAAAGGGCTCCTTCATTTTCTGCCAGAGTGCTTTGTTAATCCCATTTTAGGGGGAGACATCAGCAAGAGTTTGCTGTCACTAGCTGTGCCTCTCAGAGACATAATGAGGCTGTTTTAATTACCTGCTGATGTCGTTGTTGGCGAGGTCGAGGCGCTCCAGCTTCTGCAGCAGAGTGATTTCATCAGGGACTGATTTTATCTTGTTGTCTCGGAGCTCCAGCACAGAGAGGGAACGCAGATGCTTCAGATCCTCTGCCTTGAGTGTTTCAATCTGATTTTCCCCAGCATGTAATTCCTACAGAAACAAAGATCACCCACAATTACATAGCTCCAGCAAAATTACTTTATCATTACTTACTCGTCTCCTAAGTCATGACATCAGCAGAACCCCACGATGACACAGAGAAAATTGAGATCTCCATTCCCCTTCATCTTGATCAGAAATATCAAATCCTCCAGAGATCCAGAGCCAGGAGTCTGAACTGAGCTTTTCTGAAACCATCACAGAACCCTCATTTTTGTGTTCCACTTCCAAGCTAGGAATACATTCACTCCACTTTTACCAAGAACCTGTCGGCGACTTCTTTACTCAAGAAATCTCTTAAATCCCAAGTCAGAAAAAGTTGAGAGGGTTGCTCTCCATCTCCCTCTTGGCAATGATTCATTTAAAGTGGAAAACCAGACTGATTCTTGAGACCCAGCAGAGCACACACATGCTGCTGGACAGGCCAAGGCACCAAACTCCACACACCAACACCAGCTTTGTTAGAAAATGATGAAAGATCTTGTGGTTTTCACTGAGCCAGAGTTAGGCAGAACTGAAGCATCTGCACTCTCTGATGGATCTGGTCATTGGAAACAACACAGTGATACAGGCACTCCCTTGGCCAAAGCATTTTTCTGACAGTTAAATTTCTGATGTTCTAGGACAGGCAATTTGCAATTTTTAATGTATCAGGAGTAAAGGCTTTGAAGTATCTGGAAGATCTGATTATGCTAAAAGAAAAAAAAAAAGTGTATGTTCTCTGCAGGTACAAAGAAAAAAAAACATAATGAACAAAGTAAATTTATCCAGAAAACGTTCCTAGAGAGAAAAAAACTGCTGCAGGCAATACTAAATCCAGCTTTTCAGCCATTCCTCTTCTAAATATCTCTTTTATTTGCCAAATCTGAAGCATACTGCTGCACATTTGCCTTCCAAGTGACCTTAAGATTGGGCAACACTGACAATAAGAGTAACTGCAAGTGTGAGTAACTGCAAGGGATGTAAAAATAGAGTTCTACACACAGAATTATCAGCTTGCCATCACAGCACTTCACAAAAACTTGTCTTTGAAGTAACAGCCACTGTTTCACAACTTCACAGCAAACCCACTTCCAGCACAACAACCCCTGCAGACCTCACCTTCAAGAATTGGCATGAGGGGAATTCTGGCAGGGAATGCAGTTTGTTTTTCCTCAGATAAAGCTGTTCCAAAGATGCCATAGCTGCCAGTTTAGAAGGCACTGTTTCCAGGTAGTTTTTAGTACAATCCAGTTGTCTTAAGCCTATGGAAACACGTGTGCAGTGAGGAGCAGAAAAAGAAAGGCAAATAAAAATGGGTTTTCTACAGCAGCGTAGATACCCTGGGGATTACAACAGACATAACATTGTGCCAAGCAGAATTCTGGAAGAAAGCAAATGGCTTAGCATCAATATTCCTGCTAACAAAGCCTCTGCTGTTCATGCTCCCCTCACAGAACATTTGGGAACGGTCTCAGGGACCCACCAGACTCTAGCTCTTGTCAAGGAAGGGTCTAGTGCTGCAGATCAGCTCAGAAAGATCTGGGAGTCATTCCTGTGGCATTCCTGAAAGCTGGCAGCCTGCCCCCTGCTCCCACAGCTATCAAAACACACCTTCCACACCGAGCACTACTCACCTGGAGATCTAACATTCAAACCCTGGGAGTCACCCTTCTTACTCTCTAATTTATGGGGTTTTTTTCCTCTACAACCATTTCAGCTCTGTCTCATTTATGCTTGATGTTCCACTCAAAATGTGCAATAAAGAAAATAAATTCTACAACAGCTTATTGCAGCCTTAAGGGTAATAACTACTAAGCAGAACAACGTTAATCTCACATTTTTCTGATCATTCCCCATCCAGTTCATCAAGGAACACAAACCATAAGAGGGCTCAAGTTTGATACACAGTCGCTGGCGCTGATGTTTTAAAGTAATTCTGAACTAATATTCTTGAGAACACATTAATTCTTGAAGAATATGGTTTTTTTCCAATCCTGAATAACACGCCCTGTTGTTTCTGAACAGAACTACAGAACTGGCTGGCTGGGATTTAATAATCTGAGGAAATTCATTTACTTTTCATCGCGCTGATCTCTGCTGGCAGGTTCTTGAGTTGATTACAAGCCAAATTGAGTCGCACCAAGTTAATGAGCAAAGCAAAACTTGTTGGGATGTCTGTGAGATGGTTGTTGGACAGATCCTGGAGATTAAAAAACAGAGAGAGAAAGAGAGATGTTTAAAATATCCCACGAGTACCACTACTGCAAAGTTAATTACAGAGAGAACGTTCCAATTAGATGGCTGACACCTTCAGGATCTCCCTGGTAGAAATGTGAGTATTAGAAATGAGCCTCCCATGAGTGACAGGTCACAAGGGAGTTGATTTTTCTTGAAGTATTTTGCAAACCAAGAGTAGAAGTTCACAATAAAAACCCCACAACCCACTGTGTAATAACAGACAACGTACAGAAGTCATCAGAATATTCACAAAGTTCTGGCACCTAAGCTGGGGGGTTAATTAGCAGCAGGAAAACACAAACCAATCAGCCTTTGTAACAAAGAAGTACTTTTAAAAAATGATTTACCAATTCTTCCAAACTGACAAGCTGTCCAAACCCCTCTGGCAAGTGGCTCAGCTGATTGTGCTGGAGGAGAAGGCTCTTCAAACGTGGCAAATGCATCAGCTCCTCTGGGATGCTTCCCAGCTGGTTGTGGCTAGGACCAGAACAGGGAACACAGAGGGCAAGGCTGTCACTGGGCTGCTCTGAGAACACCACGCACAGAAGGCTGCTGCTGCCTCTGCAACCCAAAGCAGAGCTGGGTTTCTGCCCCTGGCCCTGCCCCGTACACCACCCCCTCTAAAAACCCTGTCTCCTACATCCCTCTGCAAGGGATTAGTCTCCTGGGACAAGCTCATTATGTTTTTTGGTTTCTTTGTCCAAGAATACTTCTAATCCTTGTCTGAATTTACAATATTCCAGTGTGGTGAGCCCCTGGCCCAGGTTGCCCAGAGAGGTGGTCACTGCCCCATCCCTGGAACCATCCCAGGGGAGGTTGGCCGGGGCTCTGAGCACCCTGCTCTAGCTGCAGATGTCCCTGCTCCCTGCAGGGGGTTGGACCAGATGACACTGAAAGGTCCCTTCCCACCCAAACCAGCCTGTGACTCTACACAACTATTTCAAGTGTATATTACTCATCATAAAAAAAAAGTATGTTTATACTCAAAATTCCAGCCTGAAGCAAATGAAGGTACTGCTTTTGTGAGATTACTCAAATATCACTGCTTTCACCTTCCAAGCAAGGCTGGGACTTTGACTATCAGTGAAAACAATTTTCTCAAACCTAAGATCAGTTTTGATCCAAAACTTACATTTCTCAATACACTAACATTCTCTAATTAAAAAGCTGAAATCCATTTTCTGAAAGAAAAATTGATAAACTGCAATCTTTTACAGCACAAAAGTCACTGCAGTTTTTGTCCCATTCCAGCTCTGCCACACGGACTTACCTGACATCAAGTTTCTGGAGATTTTCTAATTGTCCTAAAGCAGGAGGGAGCGATGTCAGCTGATTGTCATGAACCTGGAAAGCAGAGGGTTTAGAACACAGTTATTCATTTTAGAACGGAGTTACTAATTCATACCCTGTAGAAAAAAGCAACTCAAGATGACCTCACACACAGAATAATTCTGCCCCCAAAGCCTTTACCCTCAGCAGCCCTACAGCTACTCACGTCCAGCACGGCGAGGGCAGGCAGGAGCTGCACATCCTGGGACAGGCACTGCAGCTTGTTGGAGGCGAGGATCAGCTTGGTCAGGTCTGTCTGCTCCCACCAGCGATCCGCAGCACCGAAGGAGAGGTTCTGCTGAGCCTCCTCGGGGGTGTCCAGGTTTATCCTCCACACGTGCTGAGGCACTGCACACACACACACGTAGAGACATTGGCTCTCAAACTTCCACTGTCACAAGGCTTTTCAGACATACAAACACACCAACTGTATTTCTCGAGACTGTTTTCCAGAGCTGACAATAACAAGCTGACGGAAAATTGCCAGCAACAGCCCAAAATAACTTGATCTGTAAACAGATGGAAGGGAACATCCATTGTCATTGCTCCTTCTGTATTCTTCCCATCCTGACTGCCTGACATTGTCAAGCATAGACCCCAAGCACAGGAGGAACACCAAGCCCATGGAATGGGTCAGCAACCATGTGCACACACCAGCGGCTGTTCATGGAATCACAGACTGGTTTGGGTTGAAAGGGGCTTTTCAAGATGTAGTCCAACCTCTCTTCAGGGAGCA